GTCGACCCCGAGGATCGATTCCAGAAACGGGCACGACTTTCGCGAGACCTCCCCGACGAGCGAGCTCGAGTGCCCTCGCGGGCGCATCCGCTCGCGTGCAGCCGATAGGATGCAGCTCGATACGGCCCGATAAGAGAGGCCGTTGAAAATTTTCCAGGGCACTCGGCTCGAGCTCGATTCGCGAGAGTCGGAAAGTCGAACGCAGGAATCGTGACGAGAAGATTTTATTACTCCCTCGCACACGTGGACGCGGGAGTGCACGAAAGTGCAATAAAGCTCCGAGTAACGAGGTCGATTCCGCCCGATCGGCCCGTGGAATTCGATCACATAAGTCTTAAGCGCCGACCGGTCGAGTCCCTTACCGAGCAGTTTCCCGTGGGAGCTGCCGAGAAGCCGGTCCACCGGGAGAATTCCAACTTCACGGTGGCGCGCCCTCGAAAGCTCGTATATATTCGTCGAGGCCCTCGACTCCTCTCGGGACGTCCACCCGCCTAGACGCTAATGCGAGTCGCAGCCACGCGGGGTCGAGTGTCTCCGGACTTTGCCACTTTGTGCTTCCCCGAGCCCGAGATCACTTTTCAACGTCCAGCCCACCGACCTTGCTAACGAGTCCGTCGAACCGCCCCAAGGGAGTCCAAAAGACCGATCACCGGGGCGATGAGCTTAATTATTTCGCGCGAGTCCGTCTCGTTGGAAGAGCTTTCCGACGTTTACGTGGCGCAGCGTGTGCCCCGGGTTCCTTGCCCCTTGAGATCGTCCAGGAAATTTGTTCTAAGTCGGACAGCGATTATTTTTCCTCGATGGCAATCTCAAGGAACGTCGAAACTTTCTCGTTTGTCCGATTACCAAATGAAATTCTCGCGTGCGACACGAAACGCGTGTTCGCCTCCGACGACGTGCACGTACGGGAACGTTCGTTGCTTCTCCGTCCTCTTTTTATTAATTCCTTTCTCCGAGGCTTCTTAAATATCCGGGGAAGTTAATGGATCCGGGGATAGGGCGAGCAGGATCTCGCGGGCGGAAAGGATTGCCAATATCCGTAATGGAACCCCCTGCGCCGTGAATCAGATTTGGAGGGGCTTTCCGAGGACTAGGAGGCGAATGATAAGGCGGGATAAGGCTTGCGACCTACTTGCGGCCGAAAGCCGCCTTTTTCGAGCCTGGGCCGAGGCGCGGTGAAATACCTCCGGCAAGGAAGGGATTAAATTCCGCGTGGAGAGATACGTCCCCTCCTGACCCGATATCCTCGCAACGTCTCCGCCCTCTGCGTTTGACGTGCGGTCACCTCGTCTCTCTCCCTCATTTCCCCGTCTTTCTCTCTCTCTTTCCGGGCCGTTCCTCCGTTATTCCTGGGCGCGATTTATATTTACCATAAATTTACGCCGACGTCGCAGGTAGGAATAAGTTACCTCATAAATCACCTGAGAAATCCGGTGTACATCTGCGGAGCCCTGTTCCGGGATTTAATTAAACCCCGGTGCCGGGTCTGACCCTTTGGGTAGACACGACGATCCGCGATAATGCTATCGGTATACCTATTTCCCAATTATTCCCCGGGCGAGATTTGACGTCGCGCGGAATGATAGGGAAAAAAAGTAATTTCCTGGATCTCGCGCCCCGTAGCGAATCAACGCCCAGGATATATCGGTTCCCTACAGGATTTCTTCCCCTCCTCGGGCAGGGCCGAACTAACGCCGGACAATTTCCGCCGTTTACAGTCGTCGGGGCCATGAAAATACAGTGGCAGGAATCATGGGAGGCGAAACGAGCAGCGTCAGGTGGCGGAGACGCGAGGCCCCGCGATATTGGGCTTCGATTTCTCGGGATATTGCCGAAGCGTGTACATACCCCGGCGATTCTCTCCCACCTTTCGACGGCAACCTCCTTTCGTTCCCGATTCCGCGCCCGCCTGTCCCGAAGACATCCCGGACGCGTCCAAAACTTTTCCCCTGCGTGCGTCGATCGTAATATGCGGTTCCCGATGAAATGCTCGTTTTGGCCAAGCGGCTGTTCGTCTTTTGTGTCCCTCGTGCCGTTTAAGGGGCTCCCATACACGAGAAGGATTTTACGATAATTTTTAACTCGAATTGACAAGTCTGCCCGTAAATAATACCCGATGTGCGTTTGGCGCGGAACTCCGACGATAGGGTCATTGATTCCGTGATTACAACCGCTGCAGGGGCGCTGAAGTGTAATGCATTACGAGTCTGGGGTCTCTAAATATCATCCGCAGGGCGCAGCTTGACACCGATCGTAATTACTGGGACATTACTTGTGCGCGTTATGGCATGTACCAGGGATGCTGCCCCGGAGCGCGAGTGATGGAATGATAACGCCTAATCGACGGGAAATCGTTAAAGAGTCCCATGTAAAATCAGGAATTAGTTAGAAAAAGGGAGCAAGTACATTAAGGGATATTTGCGTTCTTGGGGGTCGAGGGAGCAGCGGGGTTTACTCTCGAGATCTCGCAATCATCAAAATGGACGCTGCTACCTAGAATGGATCTCCAAGTAATTTATCTCCCGAGGTAATTTATAAGGCACAAGAGTCGCCGTTATCTCGCAGCCTTGCCGCGTTTTAAAGACTTAGCGGTGCCTCCCTTTTTTCTCGTTCCTTCGATCCCGAAGAAGGACGCGACTTCGAAGGGAGTTTTATCAGGACCGAGGGAGTAACTTCCTCACCGACATCAGGGGCGAAATAAACGACTTCTTTGGGGATCGGTATCGCTCGGTCCTGCTCGACAAGGTCGTGGAAACGCGACGGGACACTCGGGAGCCCCCCGTGGCTCCTGTCGGGGATTATTTTATCGGAGGCGGTTCGCGGAATCTCCGGGAAAATCACTTTCCCCCGGGGGCTCGTGAAAGGAGTCGAGGGCCCCGAAGAAGCGACACTTCCTTATTTCGGGGCGCCAAACTCGGGGAGGGCTTTTTATTGCGAACTCCTAAGTCGAGCTTTATCATCCCCTCACCGCCGCCACCCTCCTCGCCCTCAAGGCCCTTTGCTGTAAGAATCTTGTCTTGGCACCTCATCCCTCGCGGACGACCCCACTTCCCGTTTAATTCGACGGCCATTCTTCGTAATCATTGTAATTGTCACGCCGAGGGGCAATTAGCGATACCTCGAGACATATTTGGCGAGGGTCTCTTTCGCGAGTAGATTCCTGGCGCATCCAGAAGGGCTCGCGAATTCGATCCTGGCTCGCAGAAAATTCCAGTGGAAGCAGGACCTGTGGGAAGTATGTCCCAGGAGTATGAGATCCCGGGGGAATGCAATTTCTCGCATTTTTTCGGCGTCATCGCTGCCATTACTCGGTCCGTAACTCGCGGGGGCTCCTGCCCCCAGCCGGGAGTGGACGGCGCGTTAAGGCGGCGGGCTTTAAAGCCGCGTTTTAAACGCTCCTCCTCGTAAAGCTCTAAATCCCCCTCCCACCCCCGCCAAGGGGGGTTTTATATTATGCCGGGCATCGAACGGGGCCCGATCGACTTCCGGGGTCGCGGCGCGCCGTGCCCTCCCTTATAAAACCGCCCTGCGGAATTACGGGCCGCTCGCGGACATAAAAGTCGCCCACCCGCTGACGATATTCCGCGAGCGGAAAATTACGCCCGCATTTTTCCGCGCATTCTTGCACGCCGTCCTCCGCCCTTTCCTGGGAGATGCCGTCATACTCCGCGAAATCGCGCCCCACGTTCTGCGACCCATCTCCGTCTCCGAAAACCTCGATCGATTTCACGGAAAGAAAAGAACCATCGACACCTCCCGACAATTGGATCGTACCGCCGGAAGTCCGCGGGACCGAAAGGAGTTTCCCCGCAATGCCGCAACTTTCTTCTCCAGTTTCGGCATCTCGGGAGGAAGTGTCTTCTCAGGTTCACGAAGAGACGGAACTGCCAGTTCTTATAGTCGACTTCGAAGGGGTTCGTCAGAGGACACCGTTCGGGCGATTCGCGTGCCAGGATACGTATATCGATATGCGTCGGTCGATTCGCCGAAACCGGAGCGGGGAATTTCATCCGGGAACGCGTCGAGCTTTAATCTTGCATTCTTATCGGGGATCGCCCACCCTCCCGCTCCAGATTCGCTCTTGTGGTTCGTTTCCACCTATTTGCGGAGTCGGGGGTTCCGAAAGGGCTGAAGTGGTTTCCCTCGCGTCCAACCCTCTCCCTCCCTTCGGCGCCGTCAGATTTTCCAGCCGGGTAACATTTTATAACGAGCGAACGGGCAGGGTGGCAAGTCGCGGGGATTCAACCCGCTTCCCGTGTTAGCCGGTCCCGATGAATCCACCACTTACCCGGGAGTAATGCATTCCGTTACGGAGCTCATCTGTAAATTAAAGCCCGCCGCAAGAACGGCGCCTCTCCGGAGATTGCACCGCGCGACCACGGAACCACTCTCGCCCGCGATGGGAGCACTTCTATGACCGCAATTTTCACGCCAGAGCTCGCACGCGCCGGGCAAAAATATACATATCGGGAAAACAACCCCCGGGAAATCGTTCCTACACGGAGGACAATTAAGCGGTACAATTCTCCCAGTGCCGCAATTATGGAAACCGCAACAAAAATGGCGCGCCGGTACAGGAGGGCTGGTTCCCTCGAGTCGCGGTCTTCGAGGACCTCGACGAGAGCACCTCGTACCGAGTGCTTGTACTTTTACTCACCGGGACAGCACTAACGATTTACGATGACAATAATTTTTTATCTACCGTAATCCAACAGGTGCCGTTGCAGACGTGATAAAATGTCGCTGCGGCGATTATGGTAACGGTTCGCAACAGCGGATTGTAATCGTTGCTGTAAACGTTGCCCCGAGTGATGTACGAGTGCGAGGTTCGATGCTCGTAAACTCCTGTTCATCGGAAATGCGCAAACGATATCCATATTGAAACTCGTCCCGAGGGTCGCGGTCGGGTCGGAGGGTGTACCCTGAGAATTGACTCGATTTGCCTGGGCGCAAATGGCCGAGGCTAAGCTCGTTTCAAGGGGCGGGAGAGAGCGACCTACCTTTTGGCAAAAATCCAGCGTGTATGAGCCGTGCCTCCATGAGCAGCGAGGGCAGAAGAAAGCACATGGCCGTGCAAAGATGTACGAACGCTGCCGTGGGTCCACCGTGTCTCCATAAATTATTTGCCAGGCCTGAAACAGTCGTGAATACTTCGCTGGCGTGCGGTCCATTTTCATCGAGCAGCGTTTAATGCCCTACGGAGGTCTCGAGATGGAAGAGAAACGGAGTCGCGAGGTCGGGAAAAATTGTCGGGAATTTACCACTGTCGGGGTTGTTCGTCAGCAACGACGAGGGTGGGTCTCTCGAGCAGGCGCTCAGATGTCTTCCTAGCTTGATCCCGTCGTTCGCCAGGTTGCCCAGCTTGAGGACAGCGGCCGCCAGGAAAACCGGAAGCAGGAGCATCCCGGTTCCGGTCAAAATCAGGCAGGCGTGCAGCTCCACTTTCGGTGGCGGGGCATCCGCCGGCCAGGGCAACGAGAGGTACGCTGCAAATGGAAGGGAAGGCTTTAAATGCGTTCCGCCGATGTCACGCGCCGTTTTATGCAAATGGACTTTATTTATGTAGCAGGCGTGCGCCGATAATTACTGCGCGAGGTACGTGCACTTCGGTCCCGTAGAGTCCGTGGGAAAATAATTGCGCACCCCTAACCGCGGGGCTGAAATATTTACCGGTGGATTTTAAGGGTGGCGTAACGAATTTCGCGTAATCCGATCCGCGAGCTGGCCAAAAGGAAGGACGGAAAGGGTCGGCGCCGAAAGGTGGGCACGTAATTGGGATTAGGGCGCACCTGTCGATAAGACCTGTAATCGTCGCGTAACGCCGCCTGGGTCATTATCTCGCGATTGTCAGGTGTCTCGTTACAGGGTTAAACCGTGGAGGGTGATTTTCACCCCGATCTTCGCGTAATTGACGCGCCAAGTGACGGGAGACGATTATGTGCTCTAAATTGTACGTCTCCGGGCGCAACCGATTTCCCCCTAATTTATTTTTAACGACCTCCCCTTGAGCTCGAAAATTAGGGTGGACCTCGCGCGAGGACGAGACTCTGGGTGGTCGGTTTCAATTTTGCCGAGAGTCGGGTAGACCGCTCGTCGAACGCGAGTACACCCCCGCTCGCGATAATCGCCAGACGGAAAGAAACGAAGGGCCGTTGACAACCCCTCGCTATAAAACCGCCCTCGCGATAACGGGGTCCGGTAATGATGGACTTTACATTAACTCCGGTGACGAAAGTTACGTTGTTAACGCGCCAGTCTTTCCCGTATTATGGAAGGGTGCGACCGTAAGGGACTCGGCCAACCCTCGCCTTCCTCGGAGAACCTTTCAACCCCCGCCGGCTTCATATATCCCGAACGAAAATGAACAGCCCCGTAATTGAATGCGCCTCGGTCGAGATCTTGATACCCCTGCTTTAACGCCCACCAGACGAGCTTAACGAACGCCGTTGTGCCGAATTCCGGCTAAAAGCGTTTCTTCCCGAAAAGTGTTTTCAACTACTAAGTGGATACATGGTTTCCCTTGCGTACTAAATTTTCTGGTGTACATAAGGGAACCATCGACGGCTCCGAACGCGGAGAAGGGTTCTCCCTGGACCAACAAACCCCGAAGCAATTAATTAGCCAGACCGGCGGAACTTGCCGGCGAGCTCGAACTCACCGATGAATCTTTTGGCGCATCTCGTGGCGATGTAAGCCTGAAGAGCCACGGCGAGGATCCCGTACCAGACCGACCAGAGGCTATTTACGTGCCCGCGAGTACAAGACTCCCTCTTCTGGGTGGACCGGGATCTCCTCGATTTGCTCGTAGTCGTGACACCGCTGGCACTGATACTCGAGACCACCGGAAGTGGCTTCAGAGGCTTCTTGCACTTGGCCTGGTTCACCTCGTTGTTGTTCTCGTAGCCCATCAAGCTCCCGGTCATCGACATCTTGTTCCTGCGATCGAGAAAACGTCCGTTACTAAGAAAATCGGTTCCTGCGATTCGAGACTCGGGAAATTCTTCTAGCATAAAATAAATACATGGAGGTAGAAACGAGGTCGTTAATTTAAGTGGCATCCAGACTGCGCGTAGTCTCGGCAGGTTAGAGATCCCGTGTATTCAGCATCCCCGGAGTCCCGGGGCGATTCGCCGGTATATTTTTCGCGCGCCATTGACCCGGAGGGTGGCCACTTTTAAGCTTTATTTTCCTACCCTCCCCCGCTCCATCTTGGACCAGTGAGCGGTCCCTCTTAGGGACTTACTCCTCCCTGTTCCAGCCTGTCCACCCTTTTTCTTTCCCAGCCGCGGGCTCGGAAGCTCGCTTGCCTTGTACCACGTCGGATATGCTAAAATATGTGTGCCGCGCCGCTTTTCCACCCTCTGCCGTGTCTCAGCCCTAGTAGACCCGCAACCCCCGCAGGAAATTTACGGCAGCCGTCGCTCTCGGTTTTTTCGAGCAGCGCAAAAACGCGATCCAAGATTCGGCAAACCCCTCGGTCCACTTCCGCCCCGTTGGCGGATCCACCATGGACCTTTTTTTCCTCTTTCGACGGCCCCCCCGAGAGGGTTAGACCGAGTCATCCGGACGATCCGAGCCCACCAGGGGATTGCGCGTGGAAGCTCTATTTATCATTTCTCGTGACGCACGGAGGCAGAATTTTCGGAGCGCGAAAAACTTCGCGAGGGATGTCGGACCCCACCGAGCGGTGCTTCGTTTCAAACAAGCGAAGCGATCTGTTTCTGGAAACTTTCTTTGGAATTTGTTCACAAGTGTTCGCCGAGATACATGGCGTTCCTTGGCCCGCGAGGGTCGACCGGGGCGTCGGTGGAGGAGCCAAAATTTGTTTCTCCGCGGCGCTAGTTGATTTTTCAGATGGAGCTACTCCTGAGTTTTGTGCAATAAAAGTTTCCAATGTAGGAACTGCAATGTTAGCTCGAATGTCAAGGTCTTTGCCCGAAGTGCTTCAGAAATCCCCTTGTTTCGCTGCTCCGTATTGCGGCCTCGAAACTTTGCACCCTTTGAACTACAGTTTTTCGAGTTTTTCGCGTTGCGGGTATTTATTGCATAACTTTGTACGATAAAAGAGGTACAAATGCCCGTTACCCAGGACCGAGAACGCCGGCCACGCTCGGGAATTACAGCCACCAATTTCGAGAATGGTTTTTACTGCTCGTCGAACTTCTTTCAGAAAGGAAAGTCCGAGGGACGTGAGACAACTGGCAAAGACAGCGAACATTCGGTCGGGAGCTTCTACGGGGATTCGGCATCCTGAGAAAAGCTTTCTTGGCACTGGTCACTGAGCTTTTACGTTTAAGACGCTGCCCGCTCTCGTAATTCTCCTCGTAAAAGCACCTCGAGCCTTGCATCGCGATCGTTCCCGACGAACTACTGAAGGAACACGCTCTCATCCCTTGCGGGACGTAAATCCACGGAAAAATATGCCATTTCTGGGACGTAAACGTCGACGACACGCGGCGTCGATTTTTTTTTTTCTTCTCAGTTTCTACTTCACCAAGGCCCGTTTTAGATAGCTCGAGAGGACCTCGCGCGAAACTTCGGAATGACCTGCAACGGCGTTAACGAGGTGCGAGGGAAGTGCATCGTCGTTTGTCGAAAACCAGGTTGTCGACGCTCCTTTTGGTTGGTGTTAGAATTCCTATGCTTTTCGGAAGGCGTTTTCGTAGGCAGATATCGGATCTCGGGGTTACGCAGCCTGTCAAAGAGCCGGGGAAATGAGGGAAACGGGAGAATCGGGGAGGAATATTTTTTCCTACGACTCTCCGGAGGTGAAAAATGTCGAGAGGGATCGAAGGACCTTCGTTTACGGAAGAGTAATCTTTTGCTCGATCTACTGGGAGGAGGAGTCGTTTGCTTTCTTAATACCGGGGAGAATCGTTAAAGGTTTGGATTCCGAGCCCGGAGGCGATCGAGCGAAATGTCTGTCTGCAGAGCCTGGATGTCAACATCCGTCGATCGGACCGTTTTAAAGATGAATCCGTGAAAAGAACTCCACCCAAACGAGCCGAGCTCGAATTAGACCTTGGTTTACATCGTGGAATGTTTACGGCAAGTGGAAGTTCAACCGGATGCGGATTCGGAGAAACGATTTCTATTTGAAGCTTCTCGGTCGTGTCGTTGTCAGACCAAACGTTGCTGAATTTATAAAAAAATTTCTGTTTATAAAAATAAAAATTCTGACACGTCATACAGCGTCGTAATGTTGTAAGGCATCCGGATCGATCGCAATTTACGAACCGCTTGGTGGTAATTAACGGAAGTTAAGGTATTTACTCTCGGCAGGTGATAATTAGCATTTTACCGGATACGGATAAACTTGGCAAGTACTTACCCGAGTGGTAGTGACGTCGGGTGTCTAAAGTTTCGAGTAGGCTTCTCCCGGATAATTAGTTCCAAGTTCTAGCATCTTTGGTAGTGGCAGGATCTGCAAAGGAAAACGCGAGATTCGCCTTTAGAAATTATTCGCGTCCCCTTCGGTTCGCAAATCCTACTTTGCAAATCCGAGCTGCGGCGAGGATATCGTCCTGCATCTCAAATATCTTAATTTCTGCAGGCTAAATTAACGGAGCGTTCCTATAAATCTCAAAGTGGTCCGAGAAGGCTCCAGCCTCATAACCGAGACGGTCGCGACGGTCTCAAATTTCTCACGCAGAGAGGCTAAGAAAAGGAAGAAAAAGGACGGGGCGTAAAAAGGCATCGGGAAGGCAAACTGACGGAAGCACATCGAAATGGAAGTCGTTCCTGAATTCCCTGCTCAGCCTTTCATCTTCCTCGCGACCGGGAAGCATATCTCGATCCGAGTGCATCTTATTCGCGAGTAAAAGCCAGCTCTCGCGGATTTTCGAGTTTCCTCGCTCTCCACGGATCAAGGAGGGCCCGGAAAAGCGGGGAACGCGAAATGGAAGAAACACTTTGCAGGGTCGAAACGAGTGATTCTGCCGAAAACCCCGAAGTGGCGAGAGTGGGTGCGCCGAAAAATATTCCCCTCGTGGAGCTCCAAACCTCAACCACCCAAACGCATTATTCTCAGCAGCGTTCGAAGATGAATGCATCGATGCATCTACCTGTGGCGACGGCTTGTCTGGTATCAGGAATTTTCCCACAGCCGAATGAGAGGCAGACCTCGCCCAGGGTGACGCCCTGATGCACCCTGAAGAGTCGGTCTCGCGATCGTTAACGACCGAGGAAATAACGACTTCGCTTCCGTGTCTTCGAGAAAACCGCGTTTGCTTTTCGGGAGTTCTTGAATCCCCTTCCGGGCAGTGGGCTCAAAAAGAGTCCGCTCTTATTTCGGATGAAAACTTCTCCGGCAAGGATTTCCCGTCCACCGAATTTTTGTTTCTCTTGCGACGTCGGACATACCTCGACCAGGAGGATTTTTCTTACTTTCTTTCTGCCAAACTCATGACGTAAAACTAGCCGAGTTAATTAGAGGGAGGGCGTAGCCCCGGCAAACCGGACGCGATTTTCCTTCTTCGTTCCGGACTGGGGCGCGCGGAAAACCGCAAGCTCCCTCTCGCGTATTTTCCGAATTTCCAAAAGGAGCCGGTCACAAAGGGAAAGATAACACCTCGCCATTAGCCCGATTAACGTTTCGCGTTACATTCAGGGGCTCGACATTGGAGAAGTTTAGGGGCGACTTTGTTGGGCCACGGCCAGGGTGTCGCGCGTGGGATCTCGGCTCACTTTTTACCCGAGCTTCCGAAAAAAAAAAAAAAAAGAAAAACCAAGCAGGCGAAATTACCTTCCCTTAATGGCGCCTCCTTTTCATCCCGGATCAAAGAGATCTAACGAGCGCCAATAGCGCGAGGATTTTAAGAAACCTACCCCGAGGCACGAGGGGAAACTTTTCAGCCTCGAATTTACCAGGATTTCAAGATTAAGGCGGCTTTAGAGGCACACCTAGCGGAGGGAAAAAGTTATTTAACGCGATTTTTCGACGCTCTGAATTATTCATAATTTTTCATTAAAATTATTTTGTTACGCTGCGGAATTCGAAATGCGAGAGATCCAGGAAGTCGCTGGTTTTGCTTAACAATTCGCGTCGTTATTTAAGCGAAACGCATGTTCATCGGGTAGCGTACATGTTTATTCCGCTAATTTCCGGTGCGAGGCAATACAGGCGAAATGGCTCGGTCTGGGGCAAAGTTAGATTGAATTTTTTTTACCCCCCTACCGCCTCGTATATTTTTGAACTTGTAAGGTGGGGCGAACGACTCGGTAAATTATTGGAGGATGATCGATCGAGGACCGAGTGGGTAGATGGAGCTGCCAAATCGGCACAAAAAACTGTAATTAATTAGGAGGCCTCCGGGATCCCCGTACGTCGGGGCGGGATCGTAAGTAACTGCTTTCAGAGGGCTCCTTTCATGGGGGGAAACGAGTTTCTTTTTTCCGCGGATAAAGCTTCGGAAAAACTGCCCTTTTATTCTCGTTTCCTCGATACCAAAGAGCCCGAAGGCTCGCGCCGAGCGTTGCCGACGCCCTAAGGAGCGAAATTGCATTCGCATTTAATTTCCAGGGGAAAATGCGCATATTCCAGGTTTAAATGATGTTTACTCCAGTTTTCGTTATTTCCATATTGAGCAGGGGCAGCCTCCGCCCGAGGGCGACCCCTGTGGGAGGATAATTCGAGGGGAAATTCGCGTAATTATTTGACGAGAAACCAACCGATAGCGATTCGCCAATTTCTCCTATTTCGCAAAAATACGGGAGCAACGTCGCGTACCCCTTTCAAGGGGGGATATTTTCAGCGGACGTGGATTCCTCGTTAGAGAACATTTCTGGATTTATTTGGAAAGCCGAAATTCCATCGAGGGTGGAGGAAAAATTAGCGGATCGCAATTTATTCGCGAAGGGTGAATAATGTCGGAGAGGGAGGGCGGGCCCTAGCGATAGCTCTCATTGTCGGGATATTTCGGGGAAAAAATCCGTGATTAATTGGCAGGAGGTCTCTCCTGATATGCGGTGGCATCGCGAAGTGTCGCTCCGATGAAATATGACCGGAAAGAGTTTGGAATGCCGCCATCGTACACCCGAAGGAGCGGAGAAAGTTCGAAAGCAGGGAAAGCTCCGGTTAAAGCGAACCGAGCTGCCGGCTTGTCAGAGTTTTGCCGAGCTTGCAGACCCTCTCCTCATTCAACCTTTCCCCGTTTCTTTTTTTTTCTCCCACCCCCCTCGTGCGAGTGGCGCTTCTCGTAATTTCTACGCTAAGGTCGAGTGGTGGAGGGAAATTATTTTGAAAAGTTCCCCGGGGGAATTCGCCCCTGGCATTGAAAACGGACCGTTCTCGGGACTGCCACGTTTCGCTTATCAGCGCTTGCAGGGGATGATCGAGGATTTTCCGGATAATTATTTAAATAACACTTCACCGGGGAATAAAAATTATTCGTACGGTCGGGAGAATGAACTCCGGAATGAGGACAATTTCTTGAATCGGGGAAGCGTGGAATGATCCTCCTGGAGGTTGGAGGTAAAAGGGAAGGTCGGGGATTATTGGATTAAACACATCACGAGGACATCTCGTGGTGCAATTTCTCTGATCGAGATAACGCGCAAGCACTTTTTACTCGGTTAACTCTCGATGCAGACGTAGACGTTTTCAGTGGCGGAACAAACTCCGAACATTCTCCTGTAAAAAAAAAAACGCTGTTTGGCTTTCCACCCTTGACACGTACGCGCGGACGTGTCACTTCTTTCAGATCCGGCTTGACGCTTATCGCGCGTCATTTTTCGACATTTCTCGTGACGTGCAGCCCTCGTTTTCGAAAAATTGCCGCAATCGAAAAGTCCGGTTTCCGGGATGAATCCGTGCCCACTTGCGTTTCCGCGGCGGAGTGGCCCGGTTATTTCAGTGTGGCCCCAGGGCGCGATTTACGCAAGGAGGGTTGCTCGCCAAGGGAGGAACGCCGATGCGTGTTCCACGCAAGAAGTTCGGGGTGGCATTGTTCGGGGTGCTTTACTTACGGCACCCATTCTTCAACGCGTTTCCCTAGCTAGGAACCCCCTGGTTTGAATAATCCAAGCTACCACGCCAAACCGTTATAGCGAAGAGTCATTACGATGTCAAAGTGATTTTTAGGCAATATCCAAGAATAAAAAAATTGGTACCACTCGGTGCATTCGGCACGACGTATTGTCGACGGTGGAGTCGTATTTATCGGGAGCGATTAACTCGGGGCCTTTATCGCAGGCCGGAAGAGAAGCACCCGTTAACCTCTCCCCGTAGTTCGAAGGGCTGGAAGAGGGACAACGGAGGGCCGTAGTCGAGAACCCTAGAATTATCACGGAGCGGCACCCCCGGCAAGAGGGTGGCCCCGCACCCCCTGACGACCTGTAACTCTCGTTTGTAAGACCTCCTCGTTCGTAACCGCCCTCGCCCTGTGTACATTACTTACCACGTCTAATATATACGCGGAGCGAAGCGAAACGTTCGGGACGTGCCGCGAATAAACGCGGATACCGGTCGGTAAATATATTTACATAAATATCGGAATTCCAATTCTCCCGGAATTTGATAGCCAATAAAGAGTTCCGGAAGGTCTTTTTCACTTTTCGCCCCATGATGGAGGTTCCGGAGAAAAGGGAGCCCGCTTAAATCCGAGGGAGGTTTATTTAGAAGATCGGGGAGTCCTCGAGAGAAGTCCATTTCCAGGCGGAGACAGAGGCGGTTCCGTTTAACGGAGGGAGGAAAGGAAAAGTGGCGCTTGTTTGTATCAGGGAGGATATAGCGAGTCGATGCCGTGCCGGGAATAAATGTTTCTCCCGTCCATCGGATAAATTGCGGAGATAACCTTAACCCCGGCTCCTAGTTTCCGAGAGCGTCGGAGGATCCCAGGAGCGTCGGGCGGTCTTTGACGATGCGCAAGACGCGAAAGCTCGCGTTCGCCGAAAGCGTTTAGCAGCGGAGCGGTCGGAGGGATCCGTTGGAATATTAAACGCGGCGTTTCTTCGCGATCTTCGAGATCCTATTAGCTCCAAAGACCCTCCCCTGGGAAGAGACCCGATGGAACCGGTCGCACGGTTCTGGCCATCAAAGAGGACGGCCGATGATCGCTCAACGGGAAAAGCTCTCGCGAGACTCGATACGGCTGCAAAGGGACTCCCAGAGGGTCCACTCGAAATCTGGTGATACGACCGAGACCCTTCTGTACGTTTACTTACACACCCCTGAAATTTTAAATTTTCAAAGTAATTACTTCCTTAACTCGTCCGTGCCCTCCGACAGCCGGACTCGTAGATACCCTTCCACGAGCGTTGCCCTTTCGAGTGTCCTCTTAATAAATTTCTCTTGCAGGAATATTCCGACGCGAAAGAAGGCCTATCGGGGCTCGCGACAATGGCGACTATCGCGAGCAGGCCGATCGAGCTTCCCCGGGATAAATCCAGCGGAAACGCGTCCGGGTAAATCGCGACGTCGGACAA